CCACAACTACTACTTCCACTACCACAATTACAACTACTACTACCTCTAATACTACCACTACCACTTGTACTTCCACAACCATGACTACTGAAACTACCACTACTATCTTTAACAGAGCTTCCTCTCACATGACGAGCACATATAATCCTAGTATGAGGTTTGAATTCTATTACAAATATTAATAACGCAGCTAGTTTTAAAATCAAATTTCAATCTAAACAACCCCATATGGATTAAATCTTCATTTACCTGACATACAAATGACTTTGATGTATTACAGACTTATGATAGCTATGAAGTGTTACTGCATGACATTCTAAGATTTATTTTATCTATCTATCTATTATTATTATGATCTTTTTCCATTCATTTATCTATTTATCTATTTAGTTTTCGAGGGGAGGAGTCTCATGGACTAGTAAATATTCATAATTAAAGTATGATTTTGCATCACACTAACAAAACAGAAAGGCCCTGACTTTCCCTGATGATTCATTTAAATTTCCTTATTTTTCTTATCAAATGTTCGCTTGGCATATCCTGTCTAGTGACAGTGGATATACAATTATATGGTCCACGTGAAATACCAGTAAGTATCTTTTAAACAGTTTAAAAGCACAATGCACAACAAATGTAATGGCTATGGATAGCATTATATTCATGAAATATATATTTCCTGACAATGAATGTAATACTTTACAAATTTGCATTTAACTTTACTAATTTAAGTAAAGAAAAACAACAAAAAACTTAAACAATTAGTCTTTATGTTATTGGAAAAAATAATGACTCAGGCATAACGCAAACCTATGTACCATAACATTCACATATGCAAATCATGGAAAATCAAACAGTACTGCATTACGGTATGCCATGGCCCTATGGGATATGGGTTTATGTAGAGCAGACAAAACGACTTTTGGCTTCAAAATCTTTCTTCATCTCAATGCTATACCATTATATGGGATCCTGTAAGATTACATGAAAGTTTCTAATAAGATGAAGTATACGTTAAGGATTTTATAAGTGTAATAAACCCTATGGATATTAGCTTGGGTGCTTATCTAAGTGTTATCACACTTACGCCTATATTATATTATTGTGAGAGGTTAGTATTTAATTCATAAACAAGGAAAGATTTTGTCTAAACAAGCTAATAACTTCGGAAAAAAAAAGTATAAATATACTGCCTCCATATTTAAGATAACTTACAAGCCAAAGCACTACCATGCAAACCCAGGCTCACTCAGAAAAGCATAAAGGAACCTAGAATACCACGATTAATCAATAACAAATAAAGGGGAGAAGGGTTATCACAAACACAAGCTTATCCTTCATGCAATAAACATTTCAGCACTCTTATGATAACTGATAGCAAGATGTGGATCATAAAAAGACGGTAAGGTATCAAAGTTCAAGATAAGGACCAACTGCTTAGATCTGAAGCAAGAATCTGAATCCAGTTTAATCCGCTTACGCAGTATCTTAAAAGAAATCAAATTGAGAATTAATGTGAATTCGGGACATGTAAACAAGAAAACTTCAGTGATTTTATTTTTCTTGTGAATGGGCCTAACTACATAAAATTACATGTTGGTGCATCAGACTAATTTTCTTCACTTCTCTTAATGGAATTGACACATACTACATTTCTGGGAGTGAATGTTTTCTTTGCCGTTTGTTTTATTAAGTCTTTTAACAGATTTACCGTTTCCTTTTTGGGGGATAGGTAATCAAAAGATTTTATATGTTTCTTTTAAATATCATAAAAAATTTGTCCCCAATTTCCTTCATATGAATATTAACAAGATTTGTTACTATTTCTCTTTCATAAGTATACAAATAAGTTTCATATCTTGTTATATATATATATATATATATATATATATAATTATATATATATATATATATATATATATATATATATATATATATATATATATATATATATATATATATATATATATATATATATATATATATATATATTTATGTGTGTGTGTGATTCAATAGACTTCTCATCATTCATCATAAGAATTCATAAGAATCAACAGAACTTTTCCCAATCTATCCGAAATACCATCGAAACATACCTAAAGAGCAGGCCTAATTCTAAAAAAAAGGGCGTGGCATGGCTAAGATCCATCCAAGAGCAACAATGCAGCACATATCAGCCCAATTTTACGTATCCACATGAAATGTGCCTGGGTTCCAGCAACATGGTGAAACACAGGTGAAAATGGACCAAAATCTATCAAAATTAGTGGCAATTAGGTTGAAATACCCTCAAGATTTTATCTTCCCTGGGCCAACACTATGGCAATCTGACAAAAAGAAAGTGGCAGTGAGAGGACAGGGTGAAGTAGAATAGGGATGGGAAAGGAAAAGAAGAGGAGGACTGTAAATAGAGCAAAAGAAATGAAAAGAAGGAACTATCCAAAATAAAAAATAATCAAATTGTTTCTAAAGTATATATAGACATCTAAGTTCTGAAGCTTTCACACCAAATGATACTTTCTTTCTTAGATTCCATATAGACATTGACAAAAAAGGATATGCTTCCTTTTACATCAGACGACATATGAGCAAAATTTGAATAATAATAATAACAAAGAAAATAGTAGCAGTGTATGATAATACTAATATGAACAACAATAATAACAAACACATAACCTATAATAATAACAGAAAAAAAGAAGGAAAGAAAGAAAAAAATACAACAATAATAACGATAATAATAATAATAATAATAATAATAAAAACAATAATAGTAGTAATAGCAATGACAATAAGAACAATAATAAAGCTAATAAAAAAAATACTTACAAATACAAAACAAAAATTAAAAGCTGACACCAGGATTAAATTGCCGGAAGGATCTTTTGCAATTACGGTAAAGGGTTGTTAAGTGCTTTTACAAACATAATTAACAATCCGGCAAATTTGTTCATTTTCGCTAATTTTTTTTTCTTTTGTTTACTTTGTATGCTTACACACATGGGGAATACACAAACGCATATACTTGCACATACACAAACACACACAGGCAGACAGACAGACAAACACACGCACAGATGCATACAAACACACACACACAAAGAAAGAAATCTTGAAAACAAAATTTGGAATATACATCAATAAGACTGGTATACTAAAATACTTCCAAAATCATCTTCACTGACTAATTCTAAAATTAAAATATTCAATGCCAGAGCGAACATGCTGTAGCACTTATGAAGGTGGAACATGTATCACCAACTTCCACAACAAGGACTCCTATGTAGACAAAAGTATGAGCAAAATTAATAACTCAAAAGCTCTGGAGATGAGAACGATTAAATCTTTGTGACATCATACTTAATTCTGGAGAATATTTGCTCAAAATGTGTTAATGGCATATCATGCACTGTGAAGTTATCCAACCTTGTCGATACTTTCATCTACATTTGTCACAGTAAACCATGTTCAAGGACTCTACCAGCCCATATATGACCTAGAGTTTGTAATCCTCAACCCACTTGACAACATGAGCGGTTGAGGTTCACGTCCTTTCAAGACAGAATAGCATAATTATACATCTATAACAATATGCTACTGCAATATTTAATTCTATTAAGACAGAGCATGTTAATACTGAGGAACTTAACAACACAGTATGTAACAACTAAGGAGCGAGTAGATGCATATGCACATGCACACTTACACAAACACACTTATATATACATTTTTACCAAAACATACTTGTATATACTGGTTTCAGTGTCGTAGTAGTGTAAACTGATTTGTGGAGGAGAGAATAAGATGAAAACAAGAAACATAGGAAGGAAGAAAGAAAGAAAGGAAGAAGATGAAGATGATGATGATTAAGCAAACAAATAGCACCAGTAGCGGTTCTCTCAAAAACTCCAATAACTGTTACAGAGTCCAAAGAAAAACATTTTAGATCCTATATGGGATAAAACAAGAGAAAAAAAAAATTGATGATTTTTATTTTTCCCTTTATTCTACACTAGAACTAACAAAAATTGCTTCAGCTTGCAAAAGTAGAAAAAAATAATGTCATGAATAATAAATAAATGTATAAATGTACTTACACAGACAGACAGACAGAAAGACACAGACAAAGACACATGTAAATATACACTCAATCTCAATTTGTGCACACACACACATAAACACACACACACACACCACACACACACACACACACACACACACACACACACACACACACACACACACACACACACACACACACACACACACACACACACACACACACACACACACACACACACACACACACACACACACACACACGCACACACACACGCATGCACGCACAAAAATCATACTTCAAACTTTATGTGAAATACAAAATGAAAGTTTGGTAAATACAGAATAACATCCTTCTGTGAATGAAGGTCAATGTAAAAATATTTTCAGCAGTATTCCCCTTTCATTCTTTAAAATGCATAGCTAATCAATAAACCGCAATACTACTTTTCCAATTACGCATCTACCTTTGGATTACCAAAACATTTCAGATAACTATTACAATATCAAACTAAATAAATAATTATTGATAATTCTCTGACCACCAAGATGAAAAAAAGAAAACTAATAATATACTGATATAAAAACCACAATGAAAATCATGGTAAAAGTTAGAAGAAACCCCACATCTCCACCAATGACTTCAAATGCAAAGCCTCCTGCAAGAGACAACAGCCGGTCTTCCAGCAGGATAGAGCTCACGGACTAGCTTATCGTCCAAGTAAGGAACCTACACAAGCTCTATCTTGCCTTTGCCGTGGTGATCAGCTTACTATGTACCCCTATAACCTTGGACTTTGGATATAGGTTTTGTGTTAAAGATACTGTGAGCTTCAAGTGGATTTGGAAAGAACACAGTCCGAGGATAAGAAAAAAAAGTACCTGCTAACATCTCCAAAACATCTACCAACATCACAACCATGTTATTCAGCCAAATGCAATTAGTTATATTCTATCAAGCTATGGAGAGAAAGTCTCATTTCAATATATTTACTGAAAGCAACTAAAACGATTTCTTGTTTTTAGTCTTGTAAACCACTGTTAGTATACTATCGGCCGGTTTGTTAAAATTGTGCCAGGCCCGACCCAATGAATATCCATAAACACAGACATGCATAAACATAGAAATAAATGCATGTCTGTCTATCTATCTGATAGATACACATATATCTACCTATTTGCCTGGTTGATATGCATGTCTAGACTGATAATCATGCATTTATTTCTTTATTTATGCAAATCAAGTATATGGATATGCTTTGGGTTGGGCCTTGCACAATTTTAACAAACCGGCCGCATATCTTTTATCCCTGTATTTAAGATATTTTTCACCTATAAAGTTAAATATGTTATCAAGAGTCATTATTCACTAAACAATCATCTATTCTAAGAGTTGGATAGCATTTGTAATATAATACAATGCACGCAAATTACAGGTAACTGTATAAATATACAAGATACATACATACATGTTATAATTTTTTTTTTTTCATGATGTTTGTTATTTGTAAATGTAGACCATTATATAAAAAAATAATAACAATTGATAAAAATCACGATGATAATCAGAGAAACAATTATATATAAATAAAAATAAAATTATATAACAATAAATAAACAGCAAATAACAAATAATAAATTATACTGAAGAATGATAATAAACATAATGCTCAAAATCAAAACCATTCAAATGTAACTTGCTATTACATGCAGAAAGAGATACGTATGTATTTCTTATAAATTTCAGACAAAAGGTGTCATCCAGCATAATACAGAAGCTTTGTGCAAAACTGTGATATGTCTTTCACAATACAGAAGCTTTGTGCAAAACTGTGATATGTCTTTCACAATACAGAAGCTTGTGCAAAACTGTGATATACCTTTCACTAACCATAAACATTTTCTACTGTACATAACTCTTCTAATATAACACATGACACTTATTTTTTACTTACAATTAACAAATATACTACTTTAACAACTATATAACTTCACATGCTAAATTGCTACTAAAAGTTCTAACCATACACATAACATATATAAAGTACAAATTGACGGAAAGACACAGATTCACTCTGAAGTCGTCTCTGGTATCATTTCTAAAAACGGATAGTCTTTTCTATTGTTTACAATATTTTTGAAAAATCATTGTTTTAAACCCCAATTGTCCCTAAAATATTCATACTGTTACTAATATCAAAATATTTTTACAATTCATACCTATTACTTGTTTGACATTTCAGACAGACAATTCTCCCAAATACACTGGGTGTTTTTTGCACTATTTCACAGATTTCTTTTGCTTAAAAAAAAAAAAAAAAAAAAAAAAAAATCAAAAGTATTATTGCTGTATGAAACTGTGATAGCATTCTTTGCTGACCTGAGTTAAAATCTACAGTGTCACTGAATGGTGACCTTGGCCACTCCTTACACAGGGAGTGACTTAGAAGACAGATACAATTTGATTATTATCATTATCATAATTATCAACCTCATTATCATTATTTTCAATATCATTATAATAGACTAGTCTTTCGTTTATGTTTTCCCTGTCACTGCAAAAGGAAAAGATATACAATATTAGGACGAAAAAGTGCATGATTTTAAGATCTTTATTTTTTCTGTATCTTAGATGTATGAATTCATTAGAATGAACTCTAATTCTATAAAACTAATAAATCAATAAGAGTGGATAATGCCTAGAAGACACCATAGTTTCATTCAAAATCTGATTTTTCTCTACTATAGTACTGAAACTTTTAAAAATCTTCAAAAGACAGCAATCACCTCATGTCCTCTACTATAGTACTGAAACTTTTAAAAATCTCATCTTATATTCTGTATGCTGAATTTTGCTGCTTCGCATATAAATCAAAACTTGAAAAAAATGAGTTCCAGTTAGCACGGTATGTCTGATGTGATTGTCCCAAACACAGTGCGAAAGTGTTGTGGTAGCAATACATTCGCCGCAGAAGTACAAGGCAACAAGGATGCCTACAATCCACATCAAATGTATTAACGGCACAGCAACAAGTGATCATCACAATGGCAGTGTTCTTGAAAAGGCCAATACACTTCCATCAATATGGACTAGTTCCTTATATAATGATAAATTGCTAGTTAGGTTTACTAACCAATATATTGGTGTTAGACTGTATCAACATTTACTAAAGCCCCGCTGAGCATAAATCTAATGTGGAACATATGGATATCTTCTACACATTCAGTGAATCTTATGTCTTCACTGAGAAAAGGAAAAGAAGAAAAAAATTTTGTACTGTGTTACATAAATGACATTTTAATTCCATTGCTGTAATTGTGTTTTACATAAGCAATATTGAAAATGAATCTGATTGAGGTTTTATATCAAATCAGTTTTGCATTACTCTACAGTTAAATAGCATACATCTAGTTATTCTCTTTATATGAATTTTAATACAAACA